TGTGTGTGTGTGTACACATGTGAACAGTGCTGTGTGTGTATGTACACGTGTGGGCAGTGCCTGGGCAGTGCTCTGTGTGGGCAGTGCTGTGTGTGTATGTACACATGTGGACAGTGCCTGGGCAGTGCTCTGTGTGGGCAGTGCCGTGTGTGTGTGTGTGTGTGTGTGTGTGTGTGTGTACGCGTGTACACGTGCATGTGGACAGTGCCCGGTGCTGGAGCATCAGGGCCAAGACCAGAGTATCCTGTGTCCTGTAGGGGTGGACACCGAGGTGACACGCAGAGCTGACAGGCTGCCCTCGTGTCTCCACTGCTTTGCTAAAATGGTGACTTTGAGGGGAGCATCTCCCCAGACACAGCTGACTTCCTGCCCAGTACCTGGGGGCCTGACTCCCTTGGGAATAGGGTTGTTATTGGTACATTAATGATTCTGCACCAGAATGGGGTGTGTCCAGAGCCTGGCTGCCCTGAGTGGTGGCCCACGAAAGGCAGAGCCACCACAGACCCCTGCGGATGGGGCGATGCCGAGTGAGGCCAGGACGCCCCTCCCCCCAGTGATGACCTCCGAGAATGACTTCCTTCTCCAGAGCAGAGGCCATGCTTTTCTTCTCCTTACGGCCTGTCACGGAAGCACAGGGGGTGACCAGATGATCCAGGAAGGAAGCATGGTCGTCCCCCCTGGAAGCAGGAGCCCCCTAACTCCACCTCAGAATCCCGATGACAACCTGACTTCCCAGGAGCCAAGCCACAGCGCCCCGCAGAGCTGAACTGCTCCCAGTCACCGTGGTCAGTGCTGAGCGGACCCCGAGGGGCTGACCCATGGGAGGGCCTGTGAACCCCTGCCCAGGCCTGTCCTGTCGTCCCATCTGTGCAGATTCCAAGCCCATAGCAGGGTCCTTATCTCTCCCTCCCTGACTGCTCCACAGCCGGGGCGTGTGGTCCACGGGCTGCCCTCCTCGAGCGTCCTGTCTCTCCCTCGGTGGTGGTGACTCTGCCCTCCCGCCAGGGTGTGGGGCTCACGGGCAGTCCTACCAAGGGCCCCTCTGCTCTGACCATTCAAAGCTCCCCGCTGGGCTCTGGGAGCGGGTCGGGCGTTCTCCCCTGGGGGTGTGACTTCAGGCTCAGCTGCAGAGCTTTGAGCTGCTTTAGTAATTCTTGATGTTCTTTCCTCAAAATTGTGCTTTTCTGACCATAAGTGCAGAGTGTGCTAAGTGAAGTCTCACTGTCGCCCCTCCCAGGAGCACCCTGGTTGTCACCCCTCCCCCGTGACATGCCTGTTTGCCCTTTGGTCAGTCCTTGGCCACTCGGTGTGCTTCTCCAGCACCGCAGCTCAAAGGCATCTGTCCTCCATTCTGCCTTCTTCCAGGTGCAGCTTTTCACGTGCAGACCCAGGGCGTGAGTCCAGCACACCTTAGTCATTGCAGTGACTCCTTTACTGTGTAGCACTTTCCAGAAAGCTTGCTGGAGGTTTGCCCTGTTGCTTGAGCTCCTGGGGTTCAGATTCGTCTTTGTGGCTGTGGGTTTAGAATGCGGCCTCTGAGATGG